CCACAGTTGCCTAATATCTTAACTGAAACTAGAAAGCACTCGATTCGGTCAGTACTCAGGCATAATATGCATATAGAACACAAGCTCATCATTTGCCAACTCATGGAACCGTGGATGGAGCTTGAAGATGAAGCACAGTAGCAGCCTTCACCTGCAGCCATCGGGATCTGGTTTCTGTCTTTCTGGACTCTGGAATCGGACTATCGGAGAGGCTTGGGGCAGAGAAGCAGGCAGCACCGCAGCAGTCGCCCCGCGCGCCGCCGGCTTGAGTTCGTAGATCAGCTGCCCCCGCCCCCGCCCCCGCCGGCAGCCGCCGCCTCAGCCGCCTGCACGTTGCCCGCCGACCGCCGGCCACCGCAGCCGCCGTGACGCCGGCCGAGCAGAGCCGCCGTCACCGCACACGCGAGCAAGAAGAGCCGCGAAAAGGAAAAATTTAATCTCGGCCAGCTCCGCCGCCGTTGTCCGGTCCCGAGCGCCCGCGAGCTCATCCGTGTCCACGCCGGCGCTGCCTTCTGCATGTCGTCGTCTACCTCGATCGAGTTTTTCCTTCTCCCGTTGTATGAGTATAGGACGATCTTGCGCGCGCTCGGATCTATCTCGCCGCCGAAAAGATGACAGGCTAGTAGAGGCAGTAGGCTTTGATGATGCTCTCTGATGTTCCGCGTATATTAATAACGTAGGTAAATAACTGTGAACCATTCATTTTCATTAATTTTGATCGGTGGTTTATATTCACGTATTACCTTTTATAGGAGATAATGGATGAAATATATATTTATTTAATTTTTTTATTTTGTAAAATACGGTAGTTTTATATATAGATATAAAAAAATTGACGAATGGTGTCGTCCCGTGAGTTGCTGGAGTCCGCTCGCCGCCCCCCGCTCTCTCGGTCGCATCACTCGCATGCACGGAAAAGGAAGGGGCCGCCCCGCTGCCTAATGACCGTGACGAAGGGGATTTGTCTCCCGTGATCTTGAGTCCGTGACGGGGTGGGGAAGATTTGTTAATATTTTTTATTTTTCTAAAGGTTAGTTAACTAATTTAAAAAATCTTAAAAATTAACAGCTTAGATTTATTTGTGCTACCAGTAAAGGGAGTACCATTATGTATATGTCGTCTATGATCCAATTTAGAGAAGGATTGGAATTAGTGTTCCGGTCGCAGCTGGTCGCGTGTCTCCTCACGAATAGGTTTTTGCAAACTAACACGTGAAGGTCGCGTGCTTGCGACACCGCGCGACTACCACGCCGGTGTCACCGCCTCAACCAGAGGCAGGTTAGGGTTTAGCCATCTCCTTCGGCTCTAGATCTCGGCTGCAGGTTGGCCCGACTGTGGGTAGGCAGGGCGGCGAGGCGGTGAGGTGGCGGAGTGCCACCGGCTGTGGTGGTGGAGGCAGCGATTTAGGCAGAGCAAGGGCGGGGGAGTCTCGTCAGCGGCCAGTTGATGGGTGAGGCACCAGATTAGCGGAGGGCGGGTCGATGGGCGGGGGCGGAGGGGGGGCGGTGCAATGAGGCGGCATGTCGCCGGCGGCTACGGACAGTGGTGGGAGGCGGTCGCGGGCAGGGTTGCGCGCGCGTGTGAGCATGGCCCGCCGCGCGATAACTCTGTCCAATAGGTTCTCGATTCAGTTGCGCTAGTGGGTCCGTCGGCTAGTCCTCGACTCCCTGTCATGGAAGAGGACCCTCTTGAGTCTTGACTTAAGCTATTTTGAGTGATGGGGTGTTCGGCGATGTGACACGAGATCGACCACATCTCGTGCAACTTTCTTGGATATGCCTCTCCTTTGTTCTTTGCCTGACTACACAAAACAGGGGCAGCTCGATTTATACCAGAAAGTGAAGAAAGTAAAATGGCGTTAAGAAAACATAAATTATCATGTACCTTTGAAAATTGTCCCACAAAGATTGTTGTTCTAGACTGAAGGTCCCACCTAAAGGAAGTTGCACGCCTGCTACAGCCTTTTCTATTCGCTTCGTCTTCATCCTCCCAACCGCCCCCAAGCCCACATCCTGTGCCGCGCTCATCGCCATCGCCACGCGCCAGTAAAAATTACAGACAAAATTAGATTTTCCAATTAATCTAAGGCTATAGTAAAAATTTTGTACTAAATCATACCGTATTATATATTCACTACGTAGATCTACTCATGTGGAGTCCAACAAAATTAGATTTTTCATTTTATGATTTTTCTATGATTTACTATGATTTTTCAAAAATTCACCGAAAATAAATAAAAAAAGAAATTTAAAACCACTGTTACTGTAGCAACCACTGTTACTGTAACAAACCGCCGCTGAAAACCGCCCAGGTGTAAAATAGACGGTTTTAAAAAGTTCAGGGGGTAAAACATACGGTTTCATAGTTGGGGGTAAAGTAAATCAAGTATAAAAGATGGGGATTAAGTAGACTTTTTCCGTTTCCATTTGGACTTGTCTTTTCTTCTTTGAACAGAGGGCAAGAGCTTTGCAATTAATTGAACACACCCACCCCTCTACACACTGGGAATAAACACCAACCACAAACCACTATGCACCACAGCTTCATGGAAGTATCTCATGTAGACTTGTCCTTGACCTCTATCAAAAAGTCTGTCATGGAGGGCACTTTTGCAGAGTTTTGTGAGTGTGTGAGTCTGTTATAGTTTTTTTTTTGTATGGGCCGGGTCTTCCTTCTAATCTTCTTAGTATAAAAATATGCAGCTCTCGTCCGTGTTTGAGAAAAAATTGCACAGAGTTATCCATGTATTGGATGTTATATGATAAAATATTTTGTGGGTTTCTTGTGTCACTATCCATTATCCAATGGTAGAACATGAATTACTTATTTGTGTTTAGTGCATCTATTAAAAATGGTTGTTTTATACTATAGAGGTTTTGTGGACTCCAGCTATAGAACTATGTTGGAGTATGTTAAAAATTATTCCATATGTTTGTGTCTTGCTCGGTCTTTTATGCTTTGCTATGCTGCTGGTCTGTTGATCTCTAATCATTTGGGAAGTTCGTATTTTCTCTGAATGGATGTTTTAGTTTAAATTCCCTCTCTTCCACATTTTTTTAGTGATGTCTTTAAAGGCTACAGGATATGACTAATCAATTGAGGAAACCGCAATTTTTCATTTGTCTTTAAAGGCTAGAGGATATGACTAATCAACTGAGAAAACTAATAATGAAGAAGCGCAGAGTCAAAACTTTTCATTTGCGATTACCAATGATGTGTGCATAGAAGTGAATACATATGCGCTGGTCCGTCCTACTACTCCTGGCATGCTCCGACTTTGGTTTATTTCATGCTAATTACAAACAATTGGTGTTGAAACATCTAAGCATACGCTGATTATTTTTTTAGGGACAATCACATGGCTTGATTCACTAAGTAACCTTCCATTAAAGGTGGGCATATGATTAAAATCAGTTCCATGTTGTCTTTTCTTTGGTTAAACTCTGACCCTTGAACAAGTTTTGTTTCTTTGGTCAAAGAAAGGCATGGCCACCGAAAACATATGCGCCGTCGAGAAGCGCGGCCGGGTATACGTCATCACCCTCACCGGCGAGGGCGAGCACCGCCTCAACCCGGCTCTACTGTCTGCCATCCGCGCCGCGGTCGCCGCAGTCCGGGCCTTCCCGCGTGGCGCCGGCGCGCTCGTCCTGGCCGCCGAGGGCAAGTTCTTCAGCAACGGTGGCGACCTGGCATGGGCGCGCGCCGGGACTGCTCCGGCGGACCGCCAACTCGCATATCGCGCCGCGCTCCACGGTCTCGTCGCCGACCTCCTGGCGCTCCCCATGCCCACTGTCGCGGCCGTCACGGGCCACGCCGCGGGTGCCGGCTGCGCGCTCGCGCTGGCGCACGACGCCGTCGTCGTGCGCTTCTCCCGCGGGTTCCTCTACATGAGCGAGGTCGACGCGGGGATCAAGATCGACTTCGTCGGCGAGGTGCTCCGGCAGAAGGTCCCGGGCGCGGTCGCTAGGAGGGACCTGGTGATGAAAGGGGATAAAGATGACAGCCGCAGAGGCCGTGCGTCGAGGCATTGTGGATGCTGCCGTGAACGGCGGCGTGGAGGACGTCGTGGCCGCGGCGGTCGCCATGGCTGAGGAGCTCGCGGGCAGAGGCTGGGACGGGGAGAACCTGGCCAACATCCGGAAGGCCACCTGGCCGGTGCTGTGGAGCTGGAGCAAGGTCTAGGACTACGACGGCGACGCGCCGGCGCGGCCGCGTCTATAAGCCGCAGTTGTCTGCTTGTAAATTTCGATCATCTCTGTGTAAAACCAAAATCAAACTACGATTTGAAGGAATTGTTCGTGTACACTACAATCCGAAAGTATTTGTGGCCTTGGGAGTTGGGAATGAACATTTGCGATTGAACCACTGATCAGACTACTTCCAAGTTCCAACCAATAGATCAGCCTTTGTCGTATCAGACTTTTCAACCGGAACTTTTTTCTCTCAAGTTCCAACCAATAGAATCGGCAGATGCATTTTTATTGGCTGTTTGTTGGAATGCAAAATTTCAATACAACTTCGCCATAGTTTCACCAGCAGCAATTCCATTTCGAGAGCGGGAAGTTCTTCCCACTTTCCTGCCTCCGAGTCAGAGCTCCATCACAGCAAGCATCAGGACTACGAAACGATCAGAGAGAACAGACATTGCAGTTGGGTGATGATCATTTACATCATGGCGGACGAACAAAACAGGAGCAGCTACACTACTGCTGGGAAGTACCGACGAACATTACAAAATGGCAATAACCAAAAACAACCCTAAGCAGTAACCAGTCTCCACCTCCTACATTCTTACCCTTAAACTACTACTGGACCAACATGTGCCAGTTACTGGCTTAACACTGGCGGTACTCCTTAACGGTCAGATAATTTACATACTTCTCTCAGGTACTGCTGAGCCCCTCCCCTCTCCAGATGGTGCAATATCACCTTCGCTTGCATAGGCCCTGCACATGGGGAACCAAAACAAAAAAAACTTGACCATCGCAGCGCCTGCCTTCCTAGCTCCTGATATGCCCGAAGTTGACACCGTTCTGCCGTCTAATGTGCTCCGGTACAAGCCTGTTGATGAGGTCCGGAGAGGCATTTGCTAGCTGCATAGCAGAAAGGGGGTAACTGATGAGCAAAACAGTAGAGCAAGAGCAAAGTGGATGCTTTCAGTCTTCAATGATTGAACTGAAGCATGTGGCTAAACTAGCTATTTGAACTTTGCACTGTGTTCAATTTACTTACTTCATGTTTGAAGTTAAAGAGCAGAGGGAATGGACGGCCATTTGGTAGGCGCGCATTCGGCGCCCGCAGCTCATCAAAGAAGGGATGAGCACATGCATCAAGCTGCATAGAATACATGAAACACATAAGAACATTTCTAACCAACAAACTGATATATTAAAGATTATATGCTGTGTGCCACCTACAACATGAGCACTGGCGCTACTCTTTTTAGGTGGGGCACTAGCTAGTACACTTAACAAGCACATGTGACTATAAAGTTGCACCCCACTCTTCATCAGCTAACATCCATCAAAACTCTTGGTTCTAGCCTTCTGGACCACTGGGCAACATAATTATAATATCCATGCAGGACCATAAGCTAAGGTTTGAGAGGACATACTTCCACATGGACTTAACCACTTTTAATTGGTCTTGGTCTACAAGACTACGAATAATTGACAACAATGGAACCTTTCGAATAAGCACAGCCAAGTAAAATTGACAATATGCAACACAATCACCTTAGTCTGATGTCTCATTCCAATGTCTACTACCCTCAAACTATTAGCATCAAAGCCAACTCTAAATAAACAGAGTAAAAAAAAATACTCACAGCTGAGCAGCGAAGACTTGGTGAATACTGAAGGAGACGGGAAGCAAGGTCTATAGCTTCAGGAGGCATTCTCTTGTGGAAAATCTGGCAGATAAAACCAGAAGTAGAGGGATCAGTTAGTACCTGATGCATTCTAAACTCAAATTTTCGATATGATCTACAAACAAGTTCTTTAAGTGCCCTTCAAGAACATGGACTGTGGACTACATGTATACAACTACAGTACCTACAGGTAAAATGGAATCATAGATGTGAACAGAAGCCTGATTTAACATATGAATACCTTGTGCCACGGATGAGCCTTTATCTGAGGAAACCTGAACTCAGTATAGTTGGGATTCATGCATCGTATCTCCTCGCGGGTTGGAGTACCAAGAACCTACAGGCATATCACATGACAATAAGAAACACCATGGCAGAAGAATAGAATGTCTACTTTAGAAAATTTTGCAGTACCTTGATAATCTCTACCAACTGATCAACAGCGCTCTCTCCCGGAAACAGTGGCTGATACATATACAAGATCCAAGAGGTTAGAATCACACCATACATGATTTAGTCGAATTGAGGTACAAAAATATTAGGTTAATCATTATATGAAGTCAACCAACCTGACCAAGAAGCAACTCAGCTAGAACACAACCAGCTGACCATATGTCTATTGAAGTTGTATACTCCGTCGCGCCAAATATGAGCTCAGGGGCACGATAATAACGAGAGCATATGTAAGATATGTTCGGTTCACCAGGAACCTGACAAAGTAACATAAGGAACTGATTAATATGTGGATAAAAAATTATAGTATACGAGTAAAGAATCCAATTATTATAACACGTGAATCACAGTCAAGTTCAAGATTAGAACTTCGCACAGAAGTAAAAGAACCATTGCTATTACAGACTAACACAGCTCCACAAACAATTGAATAACTCATAGATCAAATAGGATAAAGGTAACTGCACATAATGAAACCAATTTGAGAAGCTTGACTTAAATGTAGCCAACATTGATCCACAAGATATCTAAACAAACGCTATGTAACTGGACAGTTTTTATATCAACAGCTCACTGAGAAATATGTCCACGAGGCACGCTTCTATATTTAAGCTACCTTCAAGATATGTTTTGTTTCATAGGACCAACCAACTACAATCACAATCAATCATAACAGGCAAAAGCAGCATATTGATGATACATGTTATGTAGTGACACAAACCACTAATGCCGTGTCAACAGTATGGCTAGCCTATGATAAGAATATTTCAAAAAAGAAAGCATACAACAACTGGATGTGACTATAGATCCTCATGGAAGGAAAATCAACATACCAGGACTTTTGCGCTACCAAAGTCACAGAGCTTGACCTGGTGGGTGAGAGGATCAACCTGTATATCAAAGAGAGATGAGACCAATTCAGAACTAGTTACCAAATCAAAGAAAGAACATAACCTTGTTCACACGACACATACCAAAACATTTTGTGGCTTTACGTCCCTATGGCAGACTCCTGGTACATTATGAATATAAGCTAGGCCTCTAAAAAGCTGCAAACATCACAAAAAAAAGACCATTAGCAAAGCAATGAAAGCACGCATTGGCAGCCTCACAAATGTTAAGATGCTGGTTCACAAACCTGGTACATGTACAGCTTGACGTAGATAAGAGGCATCCTCTGGTTCGCATTGCTGTAGTGCTTCAGGACACGGTATAGAGTCTCAGGGACAAATTCCATGACCAGATTTAAAAACAATTCATCCCTGCTCGTTGTCGAGAAGAAGCAGTGCTTCAGGCAGATAACGTTGGGGTGCTCCATGGCACGCATAAGTTGCAGCTCCCGGTTCTTGTATCGCCGATCTTGCAGCACCTTCTTGATGGCGAAGGTCTCTCCGGTCTCCAAACACTTGGCCTGCATGTCAAAATAAATTCAGCACATGTTGCTCAACCAATGTTAGGCACAGCCACAAAGAAGAGCCCCCATGACCAAGCACCATACCTGGAAGACGATCCCAAATGAGCCTGTACCCACGACACGCTCTGCCATGTAACTGATGGTCTGCAATTAAGGCCGGAACAAGAACAACACATGAGTAACTGAGGACAATATATGAGGCTAGCAAAAGTAGGCAGGCATCAGAGTAACTGAGCAGGCAGGAATTCAGATCCTCACACATGTAACTAAACTAATAGGTAGAGCATTTCTATTCTGCTCACAACAGAACTAAGCACAAAACTGGTAGACCATACTTCCTAAATGCGTGCTAGCCTTCAAAACTCCAGTACCAGAACCCAAAATGAAGCAGTCAACCACATAATTAAGCTGCAAGCACTAAACCAAGGAAGAGCAATTTTATCTGCCCAGCCAGAATCCCCAAAGTAGCGGGAACAGCATAATTCATCAACAAAATCAGAACTAGTCCACCAAATTCCACCAGCACGCTAGCTATAGCTGTCTAGCAGCTAAACAAGAGATACAGAACGCGAACCCATGCGCAAACCATCAGATCAAGGCGGATTCCGACCGCAAAAGCCGCTACAAAACAAGCGGAACCACTCCAACCGCACTACCCGCAGCAGCATTCACGCACACATCCGCGCGCCAGACAGACAGCGAGAGAAGCGTGGCTTACCCGCTTCGGTTCGCCGTTCTTCCCACCGATGGTGGTGGAGATGATATGACCCGTAACAGCGTCTCCCCCTTCCCCTTCCTTCTTCTGCGACAAACACGGAAAGGAAAAAAAAACAGAGCACCATTAGCAACATCGCCCGCAGAAGCAGCAGATCGGGCGGTGCCCAGCCGCGACCACCACCGCAGATCCGAGCCCAGCCCCAGATCTGGGCACAACCAGCTCACCTTGTCGCTGCCGGCGGGGGGAACCGCCGCCGCGGCTTCGGCGGCGGCGGGAGGGGGCGCGTCGAGCTCCATGGGCTCCGGTCCCGGCGGCGCCTCCATGGTGGGTTGTACGGAACGGTCGGTCGGTCGGTCACACGCCGCCGAGAAGGCCGAGGAGGAGGCTCCTGCTTGCTTGCTTGCGGCTGCGGGCGGGGTGGTTCACTCGCTCGCTCGCTCGGCTTTGGGGGTTGGGGAATGGGATGGTGGGGTGGTGTGGAGCAGCAGTGCTTTTGACCGGTCGGCCCCTGCCTGCGAGGACTGCCGCCGCGCTTCGCTTTCGACAGCTTGGGACAGCCGCGGCCTCGCATGGCGATAAGTGTGCCGCTGACTGTTTTTATTAGCGGGGGAAGTTGTTTTCTTTGGCAGCGACAGTGAGGCAGTGAGTCGTTTCCGGTTTAGGAATTACTACTAGGAGTGTTTTTTTTTTACACTAAACAAGGAGTGTTTTGATTTGTTACTAAAACTGAGGACAGAACCGCGGTAGTAATTAATTACTCGTGATTATTGGCTGCTCTAGCAGCACTATGGAAATTTGGCAAGCTTTCAATTCTCTTCTTTTTTCACACTCTTCTAGTCTTATTAGTACAACATTTTTGCTTAAAATAAGTATATTCAAACGCTACCGATGTTTAGCAAGAAAAACATTCCTACTTCAGGAGTGCTTTGACCATACTACCAAGATCGAGGGTGAGGATAATGGTAGTAATTAATTCTGATATATTTATTGCTAAACTAGCATAGAAAAAATTGGCAGAGCTTTTAATTCTCTCCTTCTTCGACACCCTTTTAGTTTTAGAGGTATTTGACTGGTCAAAAGATATGTCCAAACGTTACAATAATATATTTTCATGCCTTAGCCAATATCAAAAGAATAACTTTGCTACCAAAAATGAGTGCAGTATTAATGGACTGTAATTGCTAATTTCTTTGTTAATTAGGAGTGCATTGTTTTGTTGTTAAAACTGAAGACAGGAGCGGTGGTAATTATAATTTTGACTGATCTAGGAGCATCATCAATTTTTTGGTGCCTTTTAAATTTTCGGTAAATCTCTACGGTGTTCGAGTGTTTCTCGCGCTTTGGTCACTCGATTTGCTGGCCGTCCATCTGGTGTTGGCAACGGACGCGATCATCCTGTGCCCGCGCACTCTTCCCCACCGCATACAACTGGAAAAGGCACTCACGCAACACGACAGTCGACTGGGCCATCACATTCCATCAAACAGTGTTTTACTCCAGTCTATAGCTAACACCCCTGCACCCCACTTGGCTGTGTTTAGATCAAAAAGTTTCCAAAAAGTGCTGCGGTAGATATCACATTGAATCTTGTGATACGTGCATAGAGCATTAAATGTAGATGAAAAAAACTAATTGCATAATTTAGTTGAAAATCACTAGACAAATATTTTAAGCCTAATTAGTCCATAACTAAACACTAATTATCAAATAAAAACAAAAATACTACGATAGCTAAATTCCTAAATTTCACGAACTAAACACACAGCCTTACTTTCGCCACCACACCCGACGTGTACGCGACCCTGCACCTTGTCACCACCGCACCCTGCCGTGACTGCGACCCTGCACCCCGGCGCGCCTTCGCCGTCGCCCCTCTGCCCTGCCGTCCCGGCGTCGCCGTCGACCAGGCACTGAGCGTCCGAGCCGCCGCGCTCCTGCTTACTTCTGCCTCCGCACCCATCCACTGCTGGCACGGCCGCGTCGCAGCCAGGGCCGACCGACCGCCGCTGCAACCTTGCACAAATTCATTCGTTGGTTAGTAGTTACAGATTACATCTCATTATAATATATTTTATTATTTCTATTTGGGTGTAAGTTCTATGTTTAATTGGTGTAAATTGATTTCTTTAAATGAGAATGGTGATTTGGATTACTTGAATAGTTATGTGATCTTTGTTTATGTATGATTTATTGCTTTGATCTTCTTCTAATTTTGCCTTTCATAGAACTGATCTGTTAAATCTGTCTTTTTTCTTTGCTTTGCTTTGGTCTTCTTCTAATTTGCCTTTCATAGAACTGATCTGTTAAATCTGTCTTTTTCTTTGTTTTTTTGCTTTGATTTTCTTCTAATTTGCATTTCATACAACTGATCTGATTAATTTGTATTTTTTCTTTGTTTTTCGCTCTATTTTTTATTTCTTTTATTTGGTTCGTTGGATTTTGATCCTGTGGTTATGAGAATCGAGTGACAGAACACCTTGAAACACTCGATTTGTTTTGTTCGGTAAATTCGAGTGATTTAAGCTATTCTGTCACTCGGGTAACGGGAGGGTGTAAATCACCCGAGTTTTCATTAGACAGACCCTAAATTTTCTCTCCCTTTACGCACTCTTTTGGTCTTTATAGCCTCTTAATGAGCAAAATCCATTAATATCTTTTTTCTGCATATTGTATCAGTCTTATTCTGGGCCAAACGTTTATATCTTGGTGCCGAAAATAAGCGGGTCAATGGAATAAGAAAATTTAATTGTCTGTCCTTTTATACACTCTTGTGGTCTTGACACCACCTCATTGGCCATTCAAACATTACGGATGGTTAGCAAAATTTTCCGCTGCTAATTTCCGAGAGTATGGTTTCAGAGCGCCTAATCGTTGCCGCCAAAGATGAGTTCGGGCGAGTTGACACCATTCACTTGTTATAAAAGCCAGTGCATTTCACTTCGTTTTAATTCCTGCCTTTTTGTACTACAGTCGCGCTAGTTTGAGCCGTGTGTGCAAAGAGAAATCCATACAGACATAGTACAGGCAATCAACCCCTGGCCTTTGAGTGCTCTTATTCGTTGAAGAGATGCCTTGAAGAGAAAGTAATCAACTACATTTGGTGACTGCGCTACGAGTACGAGCATCAGCTACGCGCTTTGGCCGGCGTTTAGCTCTCCCTTGCTACACACACACACGCATCCTTGCAAAATCCCATCGGCAGTGTAACAACCATACAAACACCGATGATACACCCAGTCGACGGAGGAGAAAACACGGGTAGCGTAGCCGTAGCGGCAGCTGTGTGAATCTCAACGCGTCACGTACGACAAAACGGCGTAGGCTCGTTCCAAAGCCTGGCTGTCGCCCACGAGCCTCCACCCGTCGTAACGCCTCTTCCGCTGAGGGAGTACTGAGTAGGAGCCCGCGGCAGCAGGCAAGCGGAACAACGGCCGCCGCCCCAACCGGAGCAGCGAGAGAACCGGGGGGAAAGCGACACGAGAAACGGGCATGCAGCGCGACCGACCCGGTGAACCAGCCAACCAGGCAGGGTCCGCCTGTCGTGACTTGTGACACGGTGGCGGTCAAAGCGGAAACGAGGCCCGGGGCCCGCGCTCCGGGAGGCTCTGGCGACCATGAGATGGTGCTGGAGCCCCGTCCCCGGCAGGGCGGCCCCACCGCCGCTTTGTTTAGCCGGTGGCCGATCCGGTTATTATTATTATTATTATTATTATTATTATTATTATTATTATTATTATTATTATTATTATTATTTTATTAGCGCCTAATAATTGGCCTCGATCGGACGCCTCACGTCACATGGCGTCCTCGCTGTACGTTGCGTTGCGTTGCATCTCCGGTTTTGTTTTTGTGACTGCCAGCCGCTGTACTTGGACGTTGGATCTGGAATTCGTGTGGTCGGTCAAACTCAAGCTGGCGACGGGAGGGAGCCTGGGGTTGGATGCCGATCGACGTTGGTACAGTACAATCTTGCCTGTCACTGCTTCTCGCTGGCAGTCAAATCCGCTCCTCGGCGGCCCAATCATGCGGTCAAACCTGGTTCTGCCTGCCCAGGTAGTCCAGTTAATTGCCATTTGGTTCTCGTCGGGACACTAGCCGTAGCTGGAAAGCCTACCTAGAAATAGCTCAAGGGTGAATGAAGCTAGTCATCACACACTGTAGGAGTCATCAAGGCCTCGTTTAGTTGCGAAAATTTTTAGAAAATAGTATTATAGTAATTTTTTTTTTTGCTATTTAGCAATTAGTGTTCAATCATAGTCTAATTAGACTTAAAAGATTCGTCTCGTGAATTTCGTCTAAACTGTGTAATTAGTTTTATTTTTTATTTATATTTAATGTTTCATGTATGTGTTAAAAATTCGATGTGACAAAAAAAAATTTTTGAAAAATTTTAGAAACTGGCACCAAATACTCGAAGCATGTACGCTCTGAGTCAGAGAGAGCAACAGATGCTGGTCGGATTTCTCGTCTCCTTTCCCACCTACTAGTATAGCAAGGCCACGTTTAGTTCGGCCGATTCGGCGCCGCCGAATCTATGTAGCTACAGTGTCGTTTTGTTTTTATTTGGTAATAATTGTCTAATTGTTGACTAATTATATTCAAAACGTTCGTCTCGCAAAGTACAACTAAACTGTGTAATTAGTTTTTGATTTCGTCAACATTTAATACTCCATGCATGTACCGCAAGTTTGATGTGACGGAGAATCTTCTTTTTGCATAGTGTCAAATTTGGAAATTCGGTGGAACTAAACAAGCCCTAGTTGCGCTCGGAAGTGGCGCCGACGAATTTCCAGCGACACTGTAGCACACTGTATCATTTCGTTTGTATTTAGTAATAATTGTCCAATCGTTGACTAATTAGGCTCAAAACGTTCGTCTCGTAAAGTATAACCAAATTGTGCAATTAGTTTTTTATTTCGTTAACATTTAGTACTCCATACATGTACCGCAAATTTGATGTAACGGGGAATCTTCTTTTTACATGGTATCAAAGTTGGGAATTGGAAGTGAACTAAACATAGCCCAAAGCTATTTATTCTGTGATGTGAATGCTCACTGCTCACAGCGACGTCACGTGATGACCCGCAGCAGCTCGCGTGCCGACCTTGACTTGACTTGCCATCTCAGCTCTCCCTATGTACCAAGGCCTTGTTTAGATACCCTCAAAATTTTAAATTTTTTCATTCTCTTTCCGTCACATCAATTTTTAGCCGTTTGTATGGAGCATTAAATGTAGGTAAAAAAAATAACTAATTGCACACTTTCGTTGAAATCACTCATGCTCTTTTGAGCAGCGACGTCACGTGATGACAATATTTAGCAA